TCTTCACTCAGTCCCTTCCCCTGATGGTGAGGCCTTTCCCTCTTGTGTCTGTCACCACTCTGGGATCTCCTATGCATTCAAACTGAGGTGCCTGCCCTTCCCAGCTGTGGGGGGCAGAGAGAGGGGGAGGGCTAGGGAAAGAGCACCTGAGGTTTGTACCAGGACTCTGGAATTAAGTTCTTTATTCACTGAGAACAGATTTGGGAACACAGAGGGTGTGGGGGCAGGGAGTTTGGGGGGAAGGTAAAGGTCAAGCATGCCCTTGTTTTTAATTCCTACATCACTCATCACTTTGTTCTTAAATAAAGAAGTCTAGGATATAGTAAAAAAAGAAATAGAAAGAAGAAAAAGAAATATCTAGACTGTATTGTCTAAATTTCATCATGGAGTACTTTCATATTAGTTTCTCTTTGGTTTTTATCTATGGCAGAGTTTCAGTCTCACTCATTTATCATTTTCATCTTCTGGCCAAATGCAGAAATTACTTCTCTTGGACTTCCATTTTCTGATAATAACAAAATTTATCTTCAGACCCATTTGGTGTGAATTTTGTTCCCTTTTATTTGCCTATCAAATATTTGGTTTGAATTAATCATAAACTTAACAGTTTTAACTCAAGTTTTTTTCTCTACCTCATCTTTACGGAAGTTACTACCATTTCTTCCTTTTTAATGAAACTGTGGAGTCACTATTGATTTTCAAAATCTTAACAATTGTTGAAGCCAGTTTGGGTCTGTATTCTGTGATTTTCATTATTGTTTCAAAAGTAAATATGCCCCATGGTGTTCAAATTACTTTACCTATCCTGAAGCAACACCAGATGGCATGGGGTAAAAAAAAAAAAATAGACGTGTAATGGACGGCAGGGAAGCTATTTTGAAACTTAAAACATATCATTAAAAACTGATTATTACTGGGGGGCCTGGGGGGCTCAGTCAGTTGAGCATTGGACTCTTGGTTTCAACTTAGGTCGTGATCTCGGTGTCATGGGATTGGGCCCCAGGTCAGACCCCTCATGGGGCTCTGCACTCGGCATGGAATCTCCTTGTCCCTCTCCCTCTGTTCCTCCCCCTTTCCCTCCCACCTCTTTCTCAAGTAGGTAAATAAATAAAATCTTTTTTAAAAACCCAAACTGATTATTATTGTTCCTAGAAAAACTACTCACTGTACTTTTCTCCCTACTGATTATTATTGTTCCTAGAAAAACTACTCACTGTACTTTTCTCCCTTATTTCTGATTCCTATACATGGTACGTCTTCTGGCTTGAAGCCTAACAATAAAATAATCAAGTATTTATTGTGGGAATACGTTATTTTTCAGGCGTATTCATCAACCTTATGACCTAGGTACTTCTTGGTAACTCTGAACTCATGGAATTTTACCTAAATGTGTATGTCTGACTGACTTATAATTGATAAGTGAAGCAGTTGGAAAGTACTGCTGCCCTAACTACCCAGATACACGGGGGCAGGTATTCATCTCTGTACTTCAGAATCCTTACCTGTGACGTTCTGACTTAGACTGGATAATCTCCAAAGACTTCTTCAGCTTAAAACTCTGAGTGTGAATTCTTTTTCCAACTTCTTAAATAGCATAAACTTTTATATCTTTTAAAAAACTTTTCTACATCTTTCTACCTTACTTATTTGATGCTATGAAACCATCAGAATTTAGAGAGTTAAGTCATACTTTCCTAAAAAAGAGGGTATCATGAAACTTCATAAATTGGCACTTTAGGGTTGTAGAGTTGTAGATAGTGTGCTGTTGCGTAGATATGCTGTGTCTGCCTAATACACATTTTTAGTTGATTGGGTATTTGCTAAAAGTGGGTAATTTAAATTATCTACCTGCAATTTAATTCTTGTAGCTCTCTTGTTTTTAATCTTGCAAGTGGTTAGTATGCATTTAAATGAAACTATGAATTGGTATGTAATATAATTTACATTTTTAGTAGTTAGGTATTAAACTCTTACTATATAGTTCAGGGATATTTGTTACAAAGTGGATGTTGCAGTTTTTAGTACTTTCTTGCATACTCAGTTCAGATTGCATCAGCTACACAAAATTTGGTTGTGCCAGTGTGCATGGAAAATTTCCAAAGAATAGTTAATGGAGGGGATGTGCAAAATCAAGTAAGTCATGTGATCTATATTATGGGGCAGGAAGCCTACTTAAAGACATGGCTAGGATGGTAACTAGACGCATTGTGGTGATCATTTCGCAGTGTATACAAATATCATATCATTATGTTTTACACCTGAAACTAATATAATGTATGTCAATTATACCTCAATTAAAAAAAAAGACAAGGCTAGATTTAAGTCATCTAATGAGGAAGAAGGAGAAACAATTTCATTTCTCAGAAGGATTAATCTATTTTTACCCTAGTGACTAAGTTTTCCCAAGAAATTTCTCTTTAGCAATTTATTTTAACTACTTACCTGTCTTTCAGCCTGATTAGTTTGGGATATTTGACTTTCTAAGGGCTTTATCAACTTTCTTTTGTCTCAAAGAAGTCATTTAAAAAGTGGTTTTGTTTCTTTCCTACTTCAGTGCATTTGACATCTTTCTGGAACACTTTTGGCTTCTATGATATAATATTCTTGCTCTAAATCTACTTCCAGGTTAATTTTCTCTTCTTTAAGAGCTAAGGTCACTTATGCCTAGTCACACTCCCTTGCCTGAATAGAGACTGTCGGGAGGGGTCATCAGATTAAGATTCATGCAGAGATGTAAGGTCATCATGCTCAGATCCATGGGTTGTTTATTACTGGCATCCAAAAAAGAGGTCTCCTTTCTGCTAGGGACCAAACCAAATATATGTGTTTGGGGACAATTGCACATCCAAGGGAATTTCAAGCAAAAGTCACATGAACATATGAAGATAAAACAGGCTTTATTATAAAGATTAGGACCAGAAATGAGATGCTTCACAAACCACTAGCATAGTTAACCCAGGAACCCAGCCTGAACTGGGAAGAAAGTTAAACTCTCACAGGGAGCCAGAGAAGGATCAGAATGAAGCATAAAACAGCTAAAGTCTCCAGAACAAGGCAGTTAACCATTACAATAGGAAGTAAAACAGCCATTTTTGCTCTTTAAAAGACTCATTAAGGAGTATTTTTCTGTTTTGATAATGTCCTGTCCTTCCATGCTTTAGGTACTCTTCCTCCTAAACCTCTCTCATATCCACTTATTTTCTAGTTCCAAAGCCACCTAATTCACTTCTTTATCCCCTAAAATACTAATACTCAAAGACTAATAATGACCTCTGTTCCTACACATTTACTGCTTGCCAGGCACTGTTCTTGGTGCTTTAACATGATCTCATCTTTTTTTTTTTTTTTAAGATTTTATATATTTATTTGGGAGAGAGAGCATGAGCAGGAGCAGAGGGAGAAGCAGACTCCCCACTGAGCAGGGAGCCGGACGTGGGACTCGATCCCAGGACCCTGAGATCATGACCTGAGCCGAAAGCAGACGGTTAACCGACTGAGCCACCCAGGCACCCCTAACATGATCTCATCTTGTTCACAAGATCAGTATTATTATCTCCACTTAATAGATGAGGCAGTTAAGCAATCACTTACTCAAGATTATATAGCTAGTAATTATGCAACATGAATTTGAACGCAGGCTTTTCTTCTCAGGTTTGTGATTTTTTTCCACTTCACTTCATTATAATGTCCTCTTGTTCCTCCCTGTAATCTCTCCTCTTTCAAGGCTTATTCCCACTTAGAGTTACTTAAATATTATTTTCTTTGTTACTTACCTATTCAAAAATGTAGAATCACTTGGTTATTTTTTCTTCATTTGTAGATTCAGCAATTCAGAGCTATTTCCAGACCTGCCCCACCTTTTCTCCTGTCTTGTCATCCTGCTCTCAACTGGCAGTACTTCATGGAAGAACTTTTCTTTCTCATTACTGATTGCCGTACTGTGCTGTACACCTGGAGTACTCATTGCCTTCTGTGCCTTCATCTTTCCTTTTAATTTGGTTATCTTTACCACTGATATTCCATTTTCCTCCTCTCATAAAAATTCTTGTTCAAACCTTTTGTGATTGAACCTATTTGACAACTTCTAGGTGACATTCCTTCTTCCCTTATGTATTCATTGTGTATTAGATTGCTATGTATTTGGATTGTTACGATTATATATTCTTTCATTAGAAACAACTATGTAGGGGCACCTGAGTGGCTTAGTCAGTTAAGTGTCTGCCTTCAGCTTGGGTCATGATCTCAGGGTCCAGGGATTGGGCCCCATGTCGGGCTCCCTGCTCAGTGGGGAGCCTGCTTCTCCCTCTCCCTCTGCCATTTACCTCATTGTGCTCTCTGGCTCTCTCTGTCTCTCTGTCAAATAAATAAATAAAATCTTTTAAAAAATTAAAAAAAAAACAACTATGTAATCTCCTTTCAAATGGATACTGTGCCCCCTTTCTATTTCACGTTACCTCAAAGCACCTGGTAGAATTTTTCATCCAGAGATCACTTAAGCAATACTGACTAACTTGTTCCATTTGAAGTCTACATTTTAATCAGACAAAACTAACAGTGTGGTCATGTATAATAATTTAAGTCCTGGTACTGGCATTAAAAAAATGATAATGATTTCTTCAAAAAGCTGGTGCATCCAAAAGTACATTCTAGTCCTAAAAACCAAATGGACTAAAAGTAATCCTGCACCCTAATTGTATAGGCTATGATTCCTTTTGCTTAAGAACTGTGGTATCCACCATGTGAGGACTTTAAGCATGTGGAGACATTTGAAATATTTAGGTGTTGAAAGGTATCATTTCCCTCTGTGGTAGAATAATTTCCCTTTTCTCACCTGTTTTCCTTAACCTATTAGTCCCATCAATGGCATAAGCTAGCTGCATGGCAAATACACACTTGTACTAATACCTAAAGTAGCCTTTGGCACTTCTTAAACATGAGAGATTGAGGGTAATTTTTGGAATTCTGCTAGTCAGTTTTAATCCTGTGTTTTCTTTCTTCAGGTTTCCTGAAATGCAGTTTTTCCAACAAGAAAATGTGAGAAAAATTCTTACAGATGTTCTTTTCTGTTATGCTAGAGAAAACGAGCAGTTGCTTTATAAACAGGTAATGAAAATATCGTACAGGTGGCATCCATTGACTCAAAATTTTCTATACAACTTGACAAATGATAGAGCAGTAATGTAGCCTTTATTGTATCCAAAGTTGTATCATAATAGTAAAGCAATCAAAGAGCTGCTTGTCAGCTGCATGGTGAGAAAAGTAAGCTCATTGAAGCACATATGCTTCTTCCTTATTATAAGACATTCCACCAAATTGTCTTCTATAAGGTGTTCAATCTTTTCTTTCAACTTTTGGGAGTTTGTTTATAAACAGCATCTTTGAAGCCAATCTAGTAATAAAACTTTTCGAGTTGTATGTATAAATGTTTCTAAATACAGCATTTTAAAATATGTGACATACCATGTAAAAAATAATCAAGTGTCCTTCTACTCTTTAAGATTTACTGGTAATATAACTTCAGAAAGTTCCTCTAAATGTTTTGAAATTTATGATATTCTTTGTTATCCAGATATTCATCCAGATATTTCTAAAGGAAAGAAGATTAAGATTGTTGGATTATGTTTTGCTCCCACTGAAATGTAAATTATTTATTTAATATATAAGAAGAATCTAGGTTTCTATTTAAGCTTATGGTGTTCCAATAAAAATACAAAAGTTGGATATTTTTATGTGTTTCTCAAAATGTATAGTAAGTGGGAATTCAAACCAAATTAATAAATTCTCTGACATTCAAAAGTTACGATGTAGGGCGCCTGGATGGCTCAGTTGGTTAAGTGACTGCCTTCGGCTCAGGTCATGATCCTGGAGTCCCAGGATCGAGTCCCGCATCGGGCTCCCTGCTCAGCAGGG